GAAGTATAATTTACTCTCCCTTAATTATAGCAACAACTTTTCCTAATTGAACTTTCGTCTTTTATAATTAACTTTACTAACTTGCAACACTTATCATATCATTTTCCCACTAACATGATGATTATTAGCATAACACTTATGCTCCCACTAGCTTTGATATGTACTCAGAAACCAGTTCGACTTCTAGAAATCAAAAATTTATTGACTTTCTTACCAAAGTTCAAATTTGTGATACGAGATGCTTTGATAAAACTTTATCAAGATCATATACCTCTCCTTAGATAGCACACATGTGTGTCTAAACAATTTCATAACTATGAAAGGGGATGCTGTAATCATAGTCTCAATTGCTTAGACTTTTTCCATTCCTCAGAAGTCCATGTTAGTATGCCGGTTAACCACACACACTCCACTAACGACTTTGAGAATGCACATATCACAATTGTTATCTACTTAAAATCTACTTAGTGAAAGCCTTTCCACACCATCATTTTCAAGAATCAGAGACAAAACTTATAACACTTAGATTTTATGGTGTATGTGTTCCTATCCATATGAAATTGTCAAAACCATAATCACAATACAAGGTTAGTGATAAATCCAAACTCATATGTATTGAACTTGTGCAGTCTTATATTATTGCCACCTGGCAGCACAAGGGCCTGCGTTGCTTCCAAGTTGTTATGCAAATATTTGCTAACTTTTAGAACTCAGATGCAGAGTCAACTTCAACCGGAATAGGAACAGAAATAAGAATATTTCAACACGATAGGTTATAAACCTCAAGTCGTGAGCTAGTGCTAAAGATAGGTTTTATTCTTGATTAGAAATTGATGTTTTTCAAAGATATTTGAGACTCCCACTGTCCTCTTGACATATAAGACTCCAAATATTCTAGAGATGGTGCGGATTCTTATCAAGACAAATACTTTACACAATTGGCCTTAGTTGGTCTTTGTTTTATCACAATTTACCAATTTCAAATGTACAAGAGTAGAACACATTTTACTCTTACATTTGACTAGTGTTAATAAACTTTATATAAGATGTGTCACTCAAGTTACAATCTTGGAGTATGACTCTAAGAATTTCTTTGGAACGAAGTATAACTCATCTTCTTGATTTAACCACTTCAACAGTTCACGACTCCTCTTCTTAGCAAAAAGAATGCACTAAGATGTCCTTAGAGTATGAATTGTGATATGGCCTCACAATGATCAGGATGATCATAAAGCATGATACTAAACTACTCTCCTATCTTTTCAGATTTGAGAAAATTTTATCTTTCTGCCTAATTTGATTCTTCTTTTCATTCTGGCATACATTGAAACTTTTCCAGTGTTTCAGAATTATACTTAAACTTGTAAGTATAACCATATTTACTAAGCTTTAGTGAATCATCATGAATTGTCTTATCATTCTCTGTGGTCGAGCTAACCAGAGCACACTCAAGTATACCCGATCCCCTAATCCTTCACTTGACTCACATATACATGTGATCAGTGAATTAGTCTTAATTTTCCAAAGATGAAAATTAGTATCCATGATACAATACAAGTTGCATGATTCCAAGTTTCTATTCAATTGAAAATTAGGTGATAAGAACCTTTCCTTATTTGGTAAATTATGACACTCCCACAAATTAAAGAATCAAATTCATTTTCCAATATTGTTATGAATGGAATCATATAAACAACAATTTTTTCACAAATGCCACTATAAGGATATTTAAAATAAGTAAAATTAAATTTTTTTTTATTATTTTAAAATTTGCAGAAAAACCTTATCCTTACAAAGCACATGCATATGAAAACAATGTTGTTATTTATTCCTAGGCAATCTATCACAACTCTTAAGCAAAAGCTCAACATTCTGATCACCGAACCATGCGATCGAAATCCATCTTTGCCATCAGAATCAACATAATATTCCTTTAAGTTTCCTCTTTTCTTTGATTACTAAACATCAACATGTGTCCTAGTCACATCATGTAATATGAATCTCAAAATAGGAACTTAATAGAGTTAGATAACGGTCTTTACCCTAAGTGGAGTCAAACTTTTTGACTTTACTAACCTTATGATCTTTCAAGTAAATAGGGAAGCTTCACAACCAATCCCCCTTCCTTTGGCAACAAAAACATATGGACTCTATGGGAATGGTACACAAGACTATATCATACTTATCCTTTCTCTTTACATATTGGTCAAGCGAGTTGACTATGGCCGACCCCTTTCCATTGGAAAGAGAAAGATTTTCTGGATTTCCAATGTTCCCATTGACAATGTCCAAGGAAGTTTGGAAAGTTGATCTTTTAATCAAATTTGCTTTACTAGTCCTCCAAATCGTTGCTGATTCAGCATCACCAAGCAAATAGATAAGATCATTAAGGGTCATGTCATAGTCTGTTTAATAGTAGTTCCAAAGGAACTCACTATGTGACTTAGAAAGTGATTCAACATCCAACTTTCTCAAGACTTTGACACCCAACTCTCCCGGCTTGTCAATATGCGACTTCATCTCCAAGATTTGATCACACATAGACCTTTCTTGCCAATAGGGCTTGAGTGACCTTGAATTATTCAAGAACATGTGGGTTACGGAGAATAATTGGAGGAGGTGGAGGAGGAGAAGTATGATTTCCATTATGTAACCGTGGAACATCATCTTTATTAGGAAAGCTTGTTCCAAGGGATTTGGAATGATCATAGATGTCTAAACTAGATATCTAATATGGGAGTTATTCAAGTTAGTTGATTTAAAGTCCTTAATATGACACCCGATATGAAATATTAAGACTAGGACCCAACACAATATTTTAATACTTGGAAGATGGATACCGTAATCCAAGCTATAAAATATTTGAAGGTAGGTGAATGATGAGTCACCAATTTCCACCATGAAAAAGAAATAATTTATTAGGTTTTAGTTGGATTTGAAACTCCTATATCTTTTGAGATTCATTGAACTATTCAATGGCATGTTTAAATCTTGATTGTGCCCTCTCAAGTTTGTGATTAGGATGCCGAGGATAACAAACAAGGTGTGAATAACCATGCAAATTGAATTGGTACCCTTAATATTTATCACCTACTAAATGTGCCGGTTACCCACACACGCTCCACCGATCTATGATAAACATTAAGTCACCATTTTCCACTCTTACTAGTCCATGTTAGTGTGCCAGTTACCCACATACGCTCCACCAATGACTTGGTAAGATAAAAAGTGCAATTTCATGGGTTAGCACAAATTTCACATTTTCCTAAGTAACTAAGATTTGGAATTTAATAAAGTTTAGATACTTAGTATTTATCATTATACTTTTAATGAATGGATAATTTTAGTCCTATCAAACTCGTTTGGCTAACGACCATCCACTAGTCAAGGAAGCGTTGGGTGAGAGTGGACACCATTAAACTGGCATTTCATAGGCAGTAACCTTATAACCCCCTTATAGACCGACTTCATGAATGATGCCTACTAACGGTAAGACTAACTTTGTTCTAAGGGCTTAACATGGAATTAAAGTATTCACGAGGAAACTTTACGAATTCCAAAACTTAAGGGCATGTTTTGACCAATTAAAAGAAACTTTTCAATTCCATATCTTATGAGTTTAAAGTAGTTTTAATGAAAAACTCTTCAAATTCCATAACTTGAGGATAAGTTATGGAAGACTTTAAAACATTTATAAATGAGACTCCCCATTTTTCATAACTTATGGAAATCTTATGAGTTTTTAAGAATCATAAATGTAAGTTTTCATATAACTTGAGAAAAGTTACAAAAACACATTTTATGACTAACTTTTAGATCAATTTGGATTGAAAGCATATTATCACATAATTTTTCTATTCATCTAGGCAACCTTATAAGAACAAGATAATTCGAATCAAACAATTTTCATGTAATTAGCCTAATCATTAAACGAATACAAAACATGAATCTACTAACAATTATCTTTTGAATTGGATTAGAATGGACATTACCACATCAAAAACAGGTTTATAGGTTCAAAAACAGCTAAGGGTAATGATTCTAGTCCAATTCCAGCCTTAAAAGTCGAAAATATGATGTCAGGGCTCCTACTCATCGAGTGTATGAACCTACTCGACGAGTAGGATGATTTTCTTCTTGTACTCATTGAGTCCAGTGCCCAGACAACCAAAAAATCGATTTTTTTAAGCTTTTTCAGCAATTTGCGTCAAAGTATAATTGAAAACATGCCTAGGTTCTGATTCCACTAAAGGGTTTTTTAAGCATTCTAACACTCCTATGGTGTACATGCAACCCTAAATACCTTGGATCTATGTTTTCTCTATTATACATGCAAACTCGATGTTTCCAAGGTATTACCCTAACTAACTTACGATCATAAGTACTAGTATAACAAAACTAGATAGAATAAATACCTTTTTGATGTAGTTTTGATTCCATGGAGCACATTAGCATAATGCCCCAAGTGTGACACCTCAAATGGTTCACACAACATCACCAACATTTGGAATAACCATGAGAAGAGATACATGGACTGTAGAAATCGGCTTGCCCTCTTGTGTATCTACTAGTGCCAATTTCACCAACCAATGAGGTCTTTATATAGTGTGGCTTTGAGGGTTACACCATGTAACTCATGACTTTACCCATTCCTTATACTCCATGGCTTTTAACCTCCATTGAGTATCCATGGGTCACCATATGGGTTAAACCCACCATAACGAATCATGGATCATAAGCCCATATATATAAGAAGAAATGATTTAAACAATCAATCCCCATATATTTATTTAGTCCCTTTTGATCACTAGGTTAATTCCAAATTAATTCTTGATCAATACTAACTAAATAATATGATTTCATATTAATATATTACAACTTATAATATATTTATATGTCAAAAATATCCTCTTCTCACAAAAGGTCTACTGAAATGTTTCAATTCCATGCAACCCAAATGGACCATGCTCGGTCGGGTCAAGTATATACCAATTATAGTTATGGAATTAGTCACTAATCGAACAGATGGAGCTGGAATAAATGAAGAGGGTGATGCATTAGGGTTTGATGATGTTGACTTCTTTTTTGATTTTAAGCTGAATAATGAGGACCTCAGTTTGTTCTTTGATAATGTCGATGACGTTCGAATTTCTCCAGTGGAGACTTTGGGAGAAACAAGTATTCTAAAGCTACTACATAAAATTCCTGATCAGATGGCTGATATCTTTGCTGATTCGGATTCAACTTTGAGGATTTATTCCATCTGAGCGTGATCTACAAGAGATACCAGCCTCCCAACCTCCACATAAAAGAATACGAGCAGAGCCCAGGTCGGGAGTGCTTATTAGGGAACAAGTTTAGCATGTCCAACAACTAACTGCAGCTGTTTCACCAACCCAACCAACTCATGTGGATAGTCAAGTACTGAATGATGGGCCCAATATTGTTCGTTCTTCCTTTGAAGCTATGAGCTCTTCAGCTCCTCGTGGCTCTTTAACTCTTCAACATGCGCACGATGAATCCTCTGAATGGCTTGACAAATTTTTAGCTCGAGAAGGTGTTGATCCTGCACATAGGGGCAAAGAAATATCAATTGGTGCTGGGAGCCCTGACAAAGAAGAGTTAATGATTTTTAAACTCAAGGAGGAGATGGGAGTCTTAAATCAAAAGCTCATTGAAAGAGATGTTTTGATTGGAACTCTAGACATTAGAGTTTCCAAGCTCGAGAAGAAAATGCCAAAATTCAAAACATCGGTCAATGAACCCCATGAAAATGCAACTCAATCTTTGTACTTTAACTGTCGGTTATTTTGATCTAAAGAATAAGTTGATAACTGAATTTGGAGACAAATTCAAAAAAACATCGGTCAGTGAACCCAATGAAGTTGGGGCTTGCCATTGTGCCCCTGCCCAAGTAACTCAAGTTCCTCAAGATGCTTCTGAACTTGTCAGAACGACCCATGTTGTTGATCATTTGGAAACTGAACCTGCTCAAATTATTCCAAGAGTAACTTTGATGCAAGCTCAGAATCAAGTCTCTACACAAAGAAAGGAAAATATGCTCTTCATGAAAAATTCTTATAAAAATGTTCGTGGAGAGCAGCCCCAACTGAGTGTGACCGAGCTTGGGAATAAGCGGTTCAAGGTCAACTACGGAGACCGATCTAGAATTTTGATGTGGTGATTTCATGATAAATTAAATATCTGCGTGGTCAAGAGAAAAAGTGGTAATGTTGAGTACTATGAATGCAAAAATGACTAAAGTCGACCTTATAGAACTTGCTGAAGCTCCATTCCACAATCGATCGAATGATCCTCGTAGATCTGATTTCAAGCTAATTTTAGAGAACCAAGTAAAGAGTCAATTTGATGGAATGAAGACCGCATATTCATTTGTATTTGATCCTGAAAACCAACAAAGCAGTAAAAACTATGATGTGGCCTCCCACAAAGCAAATGCATCAAATTCCTAATGTTCAACAGTTCCAGGATGGTTCTCTGCACAATATGGAATATTGGGCTTATGATGAGGCTACAGCCACCGCAGTCATGAAATTCCATCAAGGTGTTTTCCATCGTGTTGAAGCAATGCATCTTCTGAAGTTTGGAGAGCACGACATCCGTACTCTAGCAGAACATTAGATCATGGTGAAGAATGATCTTCTGGAGGTTGCTTCCAAAGAGTTTACTAGTATGGTTGTAGAGATATTTAACAAGAAGATTTGGATGGGCATAATGGGAAGATCTGATGTGCTTCCCGTGGAGAAATATTGAATTCTTGCTAGCCTCAAACCAAGGGGAGACTGTTAGGACATGTTTTGTTGGTTTGAGCTAGGCATTTATGTTTTGTAGGCTTTGTTACACTTTGTATAGGTATTTTGTGGGTTTTCGGTTGGGTGGACCTAAAATGTCCTGTTTTCGGTCGATGTGGTCTTTTTGGCTGCATATTCTTTGTTGCTACTGTTCCCTATAATATTGTCCTAGCTTTTCAGTTTTTTGGAGTTATTTTTGGTTAATTGTGTGTTTTTGGCATCCATTCTACCTGATGTTTTCAGTTGATATAAACACGTGCAATTTGGATCGATTATGTTTCTACTCCTTCTTGTTCTTTATCATTTTGGCTTGTTTGTTTGTTGATCACTAGTTGGTTCTTAGTTTGGGGAACTTAAATACATTTATATCAAGTATTCCTCATAACAAAGATCTATGAGCTATTATTGATTCGGTTAATGTTTAGTATATATTCCTTGAGAAGTACATGTGAATGTTGTTTACAATGTATTGCCTACTTTCCTCTTATGAGATTCAACCAATCCAATTACAATTAGTCTTTCTTCATAATTGAGCCAATAATTATAACTGATTATGAAGTTTTAGAATAATTAACTATACATGGATTAAACATTTAAATATAGATCACAACAAGTATTGATATGAATATATATCCCAATATATCTAAACAAAATCATATTTGTCGTCACAATGTTCAAATATCCAAATACACTACTAGAAAACACAAATTTAGGGACATGCAAACAATAAGACACACTAGCTTATGATACGGAAAACCGCATACCTTCAAAATAATGTCAGCTTTACAAAAATTTAAAGTACTTAGGACACAAATTTTTGTGTGTCCTAAAATTAGTGTCACAAAAAAATGAAAACACGGAGAGCATATATTATAAAATGCATGTCGTGTAAGAATGCCGTTTTATAATTTTTTTCATGAAACACGCGTCTTCTTTAGAAGATGGGGTAAATGAAATTCCCAAAATTTTGAAAGGCCTCCACGTTCACCTCTATCTTCTTCCCATATTTCATCCCACTCACTCAAATACGAAGAGAAACCATAACATCACAAAAATCACTCTTTTGGTCTCGCACTACTTCTCTTAGTTAAATACATAAAAAAAAACCTCCATCAGAGAACCACGACAACTTCTCTTTATGCTACACTAGTTGGAAGAAATCGATGAGTCTCACGCCTAGGTGTCGATTCATTAATTATCACCGGGAATCAATCCAATATCCATCATTATTGTTAATTAGTATTTACACCATCGATTCACTATGTTATTGTATTCTCCATATATATTTCTGAGTTTTGACCTTCGAATTATGGGCACAATGCTGGATGCACACACCAAAATTAACACCATCTAGTTGTGAGAGAGAGAGAGAGAGAGAGAGAGAGAGATAGAGAGAGAGAGAGAGGAATAGAGACATAGATTTGCGAGAAATCATACATGTCATCACTTCAACAATCATCCCTCCTTTTAACCATAAGTTATTACATCTTTCACTTTACAAAAATCATATATACATCTTTATGAATCTCCGATTTTCGAAGTTTGTTCCAAGTTTCACTTGTACTTAATGAGTTCTTATGGAATTAACCATTAATTTTGAAAGTTCAAATTAGGTTTATCGTTAATCAGATACGTCATTGTCAATAGTAACTTAGAAATTGAAATGCTAATCACCAAAATCGAAATTCTTTTATTGAAACTAAAGAATTTAGTAATACTTTTATTTAAGGTACAATACGTAAGCATAAGATACATTGAGAACAGACCAATTGTCACAAACACAGATTCTACATTCAAGTTATCAGCAGAGACTCTACAGAAGAAGCTGATTCCAGATAAGTGCATACGAGGTATGCTATATCATCTATATATAATAATGTCATTACAAAAATTATTTTCTTAATTGTTATGTTTATTGTGTGAAGGATTAACTAGTGGTAGTAGATGATGAAAATCACTATAATTGGCATGTATCTACCATCCCATTTGGTCAAAACAAGAGTCTAGAAACATCTGTATTTGGAAACAATGATATTTCTACAAGGTCATCCAAACTTGTTATGACAATGTTCTTTTAGGATCGTATGATTCTAAGTAGGATATAAAATAAGAAAATAATAAAGAACACAAGTATGGCGCTGAATATGTCGAATGATTAATGATGAGGCTGGAGCATGTGGTGTTATGGTAGCTTGAGTAGCAGCATGGACAACCACTATCTGTTGCTTCTTTGATGACTCTGTGTTTGGTTCCTCCACACCCATAGTAGGTGTAACTGGCCTTAGCGTTGTTGTTGTTTTTGTTGATGTTATTGTTGTTGTGTTTGGTTACTCCATGTCACACCCCGAAACCGACGACAGAAACATTCCGAGGTGGAGGATGTCAAGCGTAGTATCACAACCAATATACATAGCAAGCATAGTAAACACAATCATTACATTACATATAAATATTTACATTTGTTTGAAAGAAAATTAATACATGTTTTATATATACATCATGTGACATCCCCAAAAATCACGGTCAGAAAAGACCGATTTTGTTTATGCTTTATAAAAATCAGAGTACTTCATTTTATTAAAAGGTTGCGGAATTTGTTCCCAGAAAAACATGGTAAATACGTTATTAAAACATTTTCGAAGAAACGTATTTATTTCATTTTAAAACGTTTGGGATGTCATCGTTAATACAGGAACATAAGCATAAACAGAACTTACAATTATTCACACTAATGGTCTACATCTCTTTAAATCTCTCAGTGTAATGTCACTTCATATCAACACATGTGATATAAATAAATTGAGTGGGTCAGGTTGGGAAACCTGGTGAGCACATAGGGATTTCAATCCCACAATGTTATACCATATATATAGTTTAAAACTCACAAAATATACAATTTCACCATACATATATATAAACAACTCTTATCCCACCCCATCGATCTTCGCAACGAGGCTATCCATACTCTCGGACCTAAGATTAGTCGTTTTACCTACTCCATACTCTCGGATCATAAATGAACGAATTTACCAAATCCATACTCTCGGACTAGGGACGAATGACTAATCCATACTCTCGGATTAAAGATGAATGATTATGCCTAATCCATACTCTCGGACTAGGGACAATAGCTAATCCATACTCTCGGATTAACGACGAATGATTATGCCTAATCCATATTCTCGGACTAGGGACAATGACTATGTCTAATCCATACTCCTGGATAAGTGACATATACTAACTTCTATTCTCTGAGTTTAACTTACTTGTACTTGTAAGAATATACTACCCAATATTCCTCATATTTACTTTAGGTCTACTCTTTATCCTAAATTATCAAATATAATCAGGTATGTTCTTTAACACGAATTTCAAGCAACATCAATTAACTCGCACATAAACATATAATTAATACTTCAATCAATACTTTTATTAAAATCATGTTCATGAAAGGGACTATGCACTCACCTGAGAAGGTGGTGACTCAGTACTCGGACAGCGCTTCGTTTACTTTAAAATAATTTCCTTCGACAAAACCTAGTATTATCACCAATAGATTTTAGTCTATTATTCGCCGAGACTAATTAATAGTCTAGCTATTATTACTATTATATAAGCGTTAAAAAAATACTTATATAACCCATAATAATAGCCCAAGTATTTATTATATGTTCTTAATAACGTTAATATAATTAAATAAAAACTATATTAAAAATAGCGTAGGCGTAGCTCACTTACAGCGGGTTTTATAGAAAACCAGGCTTTGCTTGGAGCAGCGTTTCCGATCCGAAAAGCTCTTCTTCTCGGAGCCGTCGAGCACTCCGGGGCTTCCGCCTCGTGCTAGGGAGGTTCCCTAGGCTTTTCGGGGGATTTCGGGGCTAGAGAGAGGTTCTAGAGAGAGAGTAAAGAGAAGAAAGAATGGGAAAGGTGTGAAGAAAATGAGGGTGGGAGAGGTGGTATTTATAGGGTGAAAATGGCTGAACTTGGTGCCACATGTCACCATCTAGTGGCAAGACTAGGGGAGAAAGCAATGGCCAAGATTGTGCCACATCACCCATTTTGGCATAACACACTTCCGACTTCTAAAATCCGTAACTTTCACATACCACCTCCGTTTTTGACGTTCTTTATATCCACGCGTAGGTAAAAATAATATCTACAGCTTTCATTTTGACTCCGTCGGCTAATTCTCGACCGATCTTAAATTTAACAGTACGAGGCTTTTAGACTGTTAAATGACCGCGAAGAATTCGTAACTCCTTCATACGGACTCCGTTTTCGTCTGTCTTTTTACCGTTGAGTTCCTATTAATGAGATCTTCAACTCTCATTTATTTCACGTAAGCCAAAAACCGCTCGAACTAAAATTCGAGTTTCGGGTTGTACACTACTAAGTCGAATCTTAGAAAAATCATAACTTCCTCATACGAAGTCAGATTTGGGTGTTCTTTTTATCGACGCTCTTAGTGTAACATACTCTACGACTTTTGTTTAGATTGATAAGGCTAAAAAGTCTTCTATCGTAAATTCACTATTTACGTCTTCCGGTGTCGTGTCGGTTTTGCCGTAAAACTTCTGCGGGCCATAACTTCTTCGTTATAACTCGGATTTCGGCGTTCTTTATATGTACGGAAACCTTGTGACATATTCTAAAACTTGGTTAAGACTATTCATTCTAAATAATCTTTTGTCGAAAAGTCATTTTTGACCCCTATTGCCTCTAAATTGACTAGCTCGGATCTGCGGGCGTTACACATAAGTACGAACAAAAGTAAAGAAAAGACTTCAATACGCTCCATCTTCTCCAAAAGAACGCGGGGTACCTGTCTAA